AAACAATAACCATTCACACTCACAGTTACACCTAGGGATAGCATAGAATGTCCTACCATGCATGTTTTTGGAACGCGGGAGGAAACCAGAGTACCCGGAGAAAACCCACGCAGACACGGGGACAACATGCAAATTCCGGAGCCAGAATCGACCGCCCACTTCTAGTTCCGTCTGTCTGTTTTAAAGTGTTCAAAAGCATGGCGCAAACATACACAGAGCCAAAAAAGTATTATAAAGAGTACATTGAATTAATGTGAAGAGAGTGATGAGATGAAATGACTGTCCTTCAATTTTATGTACATAGAAAAATAGATATACGACTCAATGGAACACTTCAAATTTTCCTTATCGAGCAGAGAAACAATTTATGCTTCATTGGGATTTATAGAAGTCTGTTGTACAAATAAATGCAGTTATATTTTTTGGCCAATAATTATATCTGAATTCACTTCCAAAATGAATTCAACTTTAACTAAACAGAAGAATCACATGATATGTATTTTCTCTCAGGACCTGTAAACACTCATCCAAATGGCCTCCAAAGTCCGCTGCACGGCCACAAGAGGGAAAAAAGGAGTCAAATCCATTTGGGAAGAGTGACTGTTGGAAAATTGTTCCTGACTTCTTTTTCTCCCTTATCTCCATGACAGTGAGGAAGGAGAATGGGATGACGCTTGAAGGGGGAGTAGCATGTCGTGCTGGCCCAGCTCAAAGGCAGAGAGGGTGATCGTGACTGGCAGGCCTGACGCCCCAGAAAAAAACAGGGAGGGACAGCAAGGCCGAAGACAAGAGCTTGCACAAGTATAATGCGTGTCACATCGATGAGGCCATGCCAAGACAAGTTGGAATCAAGGTCGGCCTCGCGTCCTGTCTCCCACTGTTTTATTTAGTCTTTTTCTTCTCTCTATCTTTTCTCAGCCTCCACGACTATTCACACTTGACACATTTCATCTGTCAATTTTCTTTTGGCCTCCAAACATTTCATAATTCACTGTCGTTTTGGTCACCATAAAACTTTTTACCAGAAAGGACCAAACTCTCTTTGAAATTAAGCACAGTGCAGTATGACACTGCCGTTGGTGTTTAAGTAAAGCTCCGCTACACTGTTACGTTACAGAAGAAATAACCCAAGGCTACTTTGTGTGCCTCTGCAGATTTGTTCGATGAATAAACCGTACATACTCTATTGTACATCGATGGTGTCTTACACATTTTTAGACCAATCTAAAGTGTTGAAAATGGCCTGCTTTATTAGACGATGTAATGTTAATGAACAAACAAATATGCTGTTTTGGGCATCTCCAGAAAAGTGATGATTTTGGAAGTACAAGGATTCCACCTGACGGCAGCAATGTATCATGGGTATAATAAAAATAACAACTTCAGTAGCTACACAGCCTACATCACAGATCATACGGGAATGGGGGATATTATTTGTAATTCAATAGTGACCAGGTGCCTCCTCGCACTACAAAGCATAGCAGTCTCTCTCAAAGCAGAGGCAGTCTCTCTCTAAAGCTATGGTTTCCCTTAAAAGCTTAAACATCAATAATTATAATTGGTAAACACAAAAGTGGGTGAAGTCTTGTGTACCAAATGAACAGAATGTATGCATATCATGTATTATGTCAATTAACGATGCCGGAAAAAAAAAAAAAACAAGCACAAGTGCATCCTGATATGAATCCAAAAACCTTTTGACAAGAAAATGTGTGCCTGCTTGATCCATCCATCCATCCATTTTCTGAACCGCTTTATCGGGGCATGCAACTACCTACCTACTTGCCTACTGTAGGCGGCGGACACCCTGAACTAGTTGCCAGCCAATTGCAGGGCACACATAGACAAACAACCATTCACACTCACACTCACACCTAGGGACAATTTGGAGTGTTCAATCAGCCTGCCATGCATGTTTTTGGAATGTGGGAAGAAACCGGAGTACCCAGAGAAAACCCACACAGCCCCGGGGAGAACATGCAAACTCCACACAGGAAGGCCGGAGTCGGGATCGAACCCACAACCTCTGCACTGTGAGGTCGATGCGTTCACCACTGACCCACCCGGCCTGCTGCCTGCTTGATGATTTGGTCAAGGTGATTGCTATTGGCTGGGACTCAAGCCTGTGCTAGCATCAATAAATTATGTGAACCTCTTCACTAATTGGTTGGATATCTCTCTATGACAGAATCTCCAAAGGATTGTGTTGTATGTGTGCTAGAGGTAAGATCGGGCGGCCCGAGCCCGACCCAACCCAACCCAAAATTCGGGTTGGGTCGGGCCTAAAATGTCAATCATTGCTTCGGGTTCGGGTCGGGTCGGGCTTCTCTCTCGCTTACTTTTTTTTTTTTTTTTTTTCCCCGAGGCCGTCAATAGTTTTTGCCATTGGGGGCG